GGTGGTGGCATATGCGAGCAGGAGCTGCAACTCGACGGAAGCACAGTACAGCTCTTACATAGGGGAAGGGTTGGCAGCCATGTGGGCTGTGGGGCAGTTCAGGGTGTACCTGCAAGGGAGGGAGTTCACCTTGGTGACGGATCACCAGCCCCTGACTTGGCTGATGACAACATCGGGGTTGACGGGCAGAAATGCACGGTGGGCAATGAAGCTGCAGGAGTATGACTTCGAAATAAAGCACAGGCCAGGGAAGACGTTGCAGCATGTGGACGGTCTCTCTTGGAACCCCCCAACACCAGAACCCACTGTGACCTTGACACTGCTGGCCAGGCTGGAGGAGCTGAATGGGGCCAAGGGACAGAAGGGGGCAGTAGTGTTAAAGACTAAGGACGGAGTCTATGAAGATTAAGGGCCGAAATATCTCAAAATCGTCAACTATAATTCTGGACAGAAAAGTCGTAGTCACAGGAAACGTCGTCGACGAAACACGCACAGTTATGATTCTCTCAAACTCGAGTATGTTCTAGCCCTTTCGGTGGCTGTCTTTCACAATTTGAATCGTATCCCAATATGGAGCATAACTCGAGTTATGAATTTCGGCGCACTAGGGGGTATGCTGCCATAGAAACTTAACTCAATCACAAATAGCTCTCACAAGATCCACACAAGGAAGTTAGAGTAACAATAAAACAGGTAGGATGGGATAAGGAGGACGAGAGGGAAGGTCCCAAGAGATTCCCCAACCAAGGAAACCCCATACCACACAATTCCCCTCTCTATAGGCACCCCAAATTTGACATTTATCACTTTCCCAACCCATGCCATCCGCCTCACACAACTTGGCCACACTTGCCAACCTGGTTTGGCTTCTCCCAACCACTTGGCATCAACTACAGTGATGGGGGCGAATTTTCCAGCCCCCCTAAAGTCTGTACCCCATGTCAAACTAACGAACGAGAATGAATACATTGAACAGAAGTTGGGTACAAGTACTAACCCTAATTTTGTTGTACCCCTTAAGGGCTACCCTACCCCACTATAGCCTACACAAATGTAAGCACTATGACATTCTGACACACCCCCATAGGCAAAGTAGGGGAGAACAAGTGGTCACAAGACCAGTCAAGAAAAACAAAGCAAGCTCAGGGTGGATCACAAAGTCACCATACAGTCAGAGTACAAGCAAAGGGCCACAAGGCCAGTTCACATGCAGAGTTATATAAAAGAGAACAAACAATACAGTGATCATACTCTAGTAAGTGTAAGCATGCAGGTATATATATATATCACATTGCAAGCAAAGTCACGTAGTGAGCAAGTGAGGCAAAGTAGGCACAAGGCCTAACACAGCAGAGAAGCGCTGATGATCATCAGGCAGAAGTGCCTTGGTGAATATATCAGCAGTGTTGGCCCTAGTGGCCACGTACGCAAGACGAAGCTGGCCACGCTGCTGCAACCCTCGAGCAAGGAAGCATCGCAGAGCGATGTGCTTTGTTCCGTGCTCCAGTCTATGCTCCTGACACAAGGCAATCATGGCCTTGTTGTCTACGTACAGAACTGGAGGCAAACACGGCTGCTCGCCCAAGTCAGTCAGCAGGTAGGTGAGCCAGCGTAGCTCCTGTGCAAGCATGGCCCCTGCGTAGATCTCAGCCTCACAACTGGAGCTGAGAACCGAAGACGAGCGGGTAGACCGCCAGGAAACAGAGCCGGAACCGAGGCTGAAGGCGTAACCCTGTGACAACCCAAGAAGCGTCTGCGTGACCAGTGAGGACAACTGGACCCCGTCCTCCAAGCACGAGCCCCATGCATGACGTACTGCAGAAGTAACGCAGTACCCTCTTCGCAGCATCCCAGTGCACCTTTCGGTGCCTACTGGGAGCCACGTAGCGAGCTAGGAGGCTGAGAGGGTATGCAAGGTCAGGTCGTGTGCAAGTCATCAGGTACATGAGGCAACCCACAAGCTCTGGGTACGGACCACTCGGCTCTACGGACTCGTCCGAATGTGGAGCTGAGAGCGAGTGGCCGGTAGACAGAGGAGTGGGCTGTGGCAAGGAGAACTGGAAGCCGAAGCGCTAAAGGATCTCGTGCACCATGTGTGACTGAGTCAGTGTGATGGTGCGCCATGCTCTGTCCGGGTTGATCTGTAAGCCAAGATAGCTGCGCAGTTCACCCAGGTCATTGCATGTGTGTCTCTTGTGCAGCTCCGACTTCACAAGGGACAATGCCTCAGTGTCAGCAGTGGCAAAGACGAGGTCGTCGACGTACACGAGGACGTAGAACTGCAGCAGCGACGTACCGGTGCGTAGAAACAGCGACGGGTCAGCAGTAGAAGGAGCAAACCCAAGAGCCGCAAGTGTAGTCCTCAGTGTGTAGTGCCACTCGCGAGGTGCCTGATGGAGACTGTAGACTGGCCACCGGAGGCTCCACTGGGTACCTGCAGGAAATGACCCAGTGAAACCAGGTGGGCGGCGCAGCCAGATCTCCTCGTGCAGGCTGCCCTGCAAGAAAGCTGTACTGAAGTCCAGAGAGTGTAACTCGTAGTCACGCTGAGGAGCAACGTGCAGCAACACCCGAAGAGTAGTCATCTTTGGGGTGGGGGAGCAGGTCTGGAAGTTGTCGACCCCCTGTCGCTGACTGAAGCCTCTAACAACGTAACGCGCCTAGTAGCCAGCGCCCCCAACACCACCATTCCCGGCAGCTCCAGTACCCCTGGTACGAGCACCTCCAGGACCAGCTGCTGCAGCACCTCCAGTACCACCAGCTCCAGCAGTAACTCCAGCATCTCCAGCTCCAGTGTCTCCAGCGGCAGAGTCTCCAGCTCCGGCAGATCCACTCTAAAGGCGTGTGCGCTGAGTAAACCACTCGCGCAGCTGCTGCAGGGAGAGAGGCTCCGGCCACGGAGATAGTCATGGTGAAGCACCTGCAGGACCTCCAGAAGAAGAAGGTCCCCGAGGCTCAGCACCCCCAGACTCCGCACCCTCAGACTCAGCACCCTCAGGCTCCACACCCTCAGGCTCAGCACCCCCAGACTCCACACCCGCAGGCTTAGCACCCTCAGGCTCCGCACCCCCAGGCTCACCACCCTCAGACTCAGCACCCCTAGGCTCCACACCCCCAGGCTCTGCACCCCCAGACGCAGCATCCCCAGACGCAGCACCTTGAGCAACACCTGAGTCGACAGCTACCTAAACAGGCACAATACCAAGGAGAGAGACTACCTGAGACACAACTGAGGGAGCACGACCCTGGGGGGTGGAGGGGGTCTATCGGAGGGGGACCTGGAGCAAGGAAGAGCGGCGGGGGAGGGGCAGGGGCAGAGCGGTAGGGGAAGAGACGGTAAAAGGGAACCGACTCGTCAAACGTGACAGCCTGAGAGGGGAAGACACGGCGCGAGGTGGGGTGGTAAAACTGCCGGCCAGGCGCGTCACGGGGAAAGCCAAGGAAGACGCAGCGAATAGCGTGGGCGGAGAGCTTGTCCGCAGATGTATCGCGAACAAAGGCACGAGAGCCCCAGACCCGATACACCGACGCATCGCCAACCTCCCCCGTCCAACGCAGTGTCAGCGAGGTCTCCGGCAAGGAGACACGGGGCCAGAGGTTGAGCTGATGCGCAGCGTACCGGACCGCAAACGGCCACAGAAAATGGGGAGCAGCCGCATGGATCATGGAGGTAAGAGCGACCTCCATGACTAAGCCAATGAGGCGCTCAGCAATCCCATTTTGCTGAGGGGAGTCCGGAAGCATGAACGACTAAAGAATGCCCTCCCCACGACAAAAGTCCCGCAAGAGGTCGGAGAAGAACTCACCACCTTTGTCAAAGTGCAGACACGGGATAGGAAGGTCCTGGCGGAACCGCTCGAGGAGCTGGAGACGGACTATGCGGATCCAAGTGATCAAGACATCAGGGACCCGACCCTTGCTGCGCAAGGGGATGAACGTGGTGTACCACGTGTAGTTGTCAACCACCAGCAGAAAGTAGCGCTCGCGGGCTGGGCCCCACCATCCCTGTGGAGAGTCTGCAGGGGAGCACTCATCGGGGGAAACGAGAAGGAGTGAGGAGCGGCGCGCTGCCGCCCCTCGACGCATGGAAGGCAGGGCGGGGCAGGCAAGGGCGGGAGGGGAGGCAGGACCTGGGAAGACATGAGACAAGGAGGCGAGAGTGCATGCCACGAAGGCGTGGCAGGGAGGGCTGACCCAGGCGGTGGTGCCACAGGAGAGTCTGGTGCAAGAGGAGGCGACACGAGCAAGGGGGTGCTACCGGACCTGACGCGGACACCTGGGCAGACGCAGCTACCTGAGGAGGCTCAGTAGCCAGTGTGTACAGACTCGACCCAGGCCAACGAGTGAACGTGGCTAGGTGGCGGACCGTCTGTGTACACGTGCAGATCGTCACACGCTGACCCCCAGGAGTGGTGGTAGTTACCATCGCGTCCTGGAGGGCAGCGGTACTCACCAATTTCGTAGAGAATGAGGGGAGGTGAAGGCCTGACAGTGAGCCCGACGGAACCGCCGGACACGGGAGAACAGTGGAGGAATGGGCAAGGACTGGACCCTCGGAGGGGTCAGCCAGTCTGGCCGGTACAGGTGCACAGAGAGGAGTGAGGGTGGTGCTGTCGCAAAAGAAACAGCGTGAAGCACCTGAGTCAAGTGTAAAGGTGTGCACGGCCTCAGCAGGCGCAGTACCAGGGAGAGCCGACTCACTAGCACCTAGAGCAGCAGCCTCTATACCTGGGTCAGGCGGCACACACAGGTGACTGTCACCCTCAGCACTAAGAGACAAAGCATACATAGCAGCAAGGATAGCATCATAGTCTAGGTCAAAGATAGCAACTCCAGTCCTAAGCAGCTCTGCCCAGCGGAGGCGCTCGGCCTTGTCACCAAACTCTGCGCGCCAAGCGTCGTCGAGGCGGGAGAAGCAGCGGTGCTGAGTGTGAGGCTTCCCGCATGTCTGACCAGCACGGTCACCCGTGCGAATGACATACGGGCAGCTACCACTACCCCTAGACGCCCCACGCTGAGAAAAACCACTCACGAAGCTGCTGGGACGACAGGGTCTCGCTCCGACGCTGCTGCTGCTGCCTCTGGCCACCGCCAGAACCTCCACGCTGAGTAGCTCCAGCCCGACCGCCACCACTCCCACTGCCGCCACTACCGCCACCCCCACCGCTGCCACCACTGCCGCCACCAAAGCCCCCACTCCCGCCACCACTCCCACTACCGCTACCACCTCCACTGCCTCCAACACCTCCACTGCTGCCCCCACCACCACCCCCGCTGCCACCGCCACCACCTCTGCAACCCTTGCCCTTGCTGCTGCGGCGCTTCCCACTAGCAGAAGCAGCCCGGACGTCTTCAGCACCAAGAACGTCAACAGCAGCAGGAGAGGTGTAGGAGGGGGCAAGGGGGGAGGGGGAGCACCCCTCAAAGAAGGGCGTGCGCGGAGTGCCACAAGCAGCACCTACAGCGACTACACCAGTCTCAGCTGCAAGGAGGTGCTGCAAGAGTGAGGACTGTGGGATCAAGTGAGAGAAAGTGGTTTCTGATAGAGCGAAGAGAGTCAGGGAGGCAGGTGACTATAAAGTAGCGAGTGATGAACATCGAGGGCTGGTTTCTGTCAAGGAACTCAGCGGGGGCGGCAGCGCGGTAGCGAGCGTCGCTAGTGCGAAGGTGGGAAACCAAGTCCTCTACTGTGGCAAAGGCGGACAGCTGGGGAAATAGGTAGGGCAGGAGTGGCAGGGGAGGAGTAACGGGCGACTACAGCGTCGTAAAGTGCCTGTGCTGTCCTCTGCTGTCCGAAGTGAGCGCATTCGGCTAACGGTAGGTGGTTGCGAATGGCTAAGCGAGCAGCAGCGTCACGAGTAAGCCACAGTGAGCGAGTTGCACTGTCAGCTGTGGCGGGAGGAGCAGGAGCGGCGCCAGACATGTGGTCAAACAAAGAAACGCTGTCCCTAGAGTCGCTCAGTAGGTACAGCTGCAGGTCGTCCAGCCACGTGTCAAACTGGATTGGGCGGCCCTCATGATCAAACGCGAGAACGCTGAGAGAAGCCATAGTGGCGTAGCACGCAGGGCGGGCAGTATCCGCGCAGCGCAGGGAACAGGGCAGGCAGCAGCAGGGGGGCGGTAAGCGATCTGCAAGAGGCGGTGCGCAGGCTGAAAGAGGGGCGGCTCGGGTGCCTAGGGGCGGCCGGCTGGCCTAGGGGCGGCGGGCGGGTCACAAGGGGCGGCTCGCGGGCTGCAGGGGCAAGGGGCGGGCCGCAAGGGGCGGCGCGAAGGGCCTGGGGTCGACGGGCGGGCCAGTGGACCGCTTGGACCAGCCGACCTCTCAGCGCGAAAGACCTGATGGACCAGCTGAGCTGTTGGTCCGATGGACCGGTTGGACCAACCAGGCTATTGGTCCGATGGACCGGTTGGACCAGCCAGGCTAGTGGGCCCGATAGACCGGTTGGAACAATCGGGCTGTTGGCTGAGGCCTGTCAGTTGAGCTGGCTTGTTGGCCCGATGGTCCGGATGGACAAGCTGGGCTGTTGGCCAGATGGAATGGTTGGACCAACATTTCTAGTTGGCCGAATGGACCAGTTGGACCAAAGTGATTGTTGGCCCAATGGAACAGTTGGCCCAAGGCTGTTGGTCCAATAGACCGGTTGGACCAACTAGCCCGTTGGCCGTATGGACCGGTTGAACTAGTTGGCTTGTTAGTCTGATGGACAGGTTGGACCAGCTGGCCTGTTGGCCTGATGGACCGATTGGATCAACATGCCTGCTGGCCAGATGGACGGGTTGGACCAGCTGGCCTATTGGCCTGATGGATCGGTTGGACCAGCTGGCCAGTTGGCCCGATGGGCTGGTTGGACCAGCTGGCCAGTTGGCCCGATGGACCGGTTGGACAAGCCGTTGGCCCAATGGATCGGTTGGACTAGCTGCCCTATTGGCCTGATGGACCAGTTGGACCAACAGGCCTGTTGGCCCGATGGACCGGTTGGACCAAATGGCTTTTGGCCCAATGGACAGGATGGAAAAACTTGCCAATTGGTCCGATGGACTGGTTGGACCAACCAGACTGTTGGCTCGATGAACCGATTGGACCAACCGGCCTGTTGGCCCGACGGACCGCTTGGACCAAGTGGCCTGATAGCCCGATAGACCCGATGGACCAGCTGGGCTATTGTTCTAATGGACCAGTTGGACCAACTTGGCTGTTGGCCCGATGGAACGGTTGGACCAACCAACATGTTGGCCCGATGGACCGGTTGGACCAATCGTGCTGTTTGCCCAATGGACAAGTTGGACCAACCGGGCTGTTGGCCCGATGGACCGGTTGGACCAACTGGGCTGTTGGCCTGATGGACCGGTTGGACCAACCGAGCTGCTGGTCAGATGGACCGTCTGGACCAACTGGGCTGTTGGTCCGATGGACCGTTTGGACCAACCGAGCTGTGGGCCCGATGGACCGGTTGGACCAACCGGGCTATGGGCCTGATAGACCGGTTGGAACAATTGGGCTGTTGGCCTGAGGGACCGGTTGGACCAACCGATCTCTTGGCCCGATGGACCGCTTGGACCAACAGGCCTGTTGGCTCAATGGACCGGTTTGAATAACCAGCCCGTTGGCCCGATGGACCGGTGGGACCAACCGCACTGTTGGCCCAATGGACCGTTTGGACCAACCGGGCTGTTGGCATGATGGACCAGTTGGACCAACTGGCCTGTTGGCCGTATGGGCCGGTTGGACCAACCCGCCTGTTTGCCTGATGGACCAGCTTGGTTGTTGATCCGATGGAACGGTTGGAGCAACCAACCTGTTGGCCGGACGGACCAGTTGGACCAATCGGGCTGTTTGCTCGATGGACCGCTTAGACCAACTGGGCCTTTGGCCCAAAAGACCCGATGGACTAGCGGGGCTGTTGGTCTGATGAACCGTTTGGACCAACCGGGCTGTTGGTCCAATGGAAGGGTTTGACCAACCAGGCTGTTGGTCCGGTGGACCGCTTGGACCAACCGGGCTGTGGGCTCGATGGACCGGTTGTAACAATTAAGCTGTTGGCCTGATGGACCGGTTGGACCAACCTGCCTGTTGGCCCGATGGACCGCTTGGACCAACCGGGCTGTTGGTCCAATGGAAGGGTTTGACCAACCAGGCTGTTGGTCCGGTGGACCGCTTGGACCAACCGGGCTGTGGGCTCGATGGACCGGTTGTAACAATTAAGCTGTTGGCCTGATGGACCGGTTGGACCAACCTGCCTGTTGGCCCGATGGACCGCTTGGACCAACCGGGCTGTTGGCTCGATGGACCGGTTTGACCAACCCGCCTGTTGGCCCAAGCTGTTGGCCAGATGGACCCGATGGACCTGCCGGGCTATTGGTCCGATAGACCTGTTGGACCAAACGGGCTGTCAGCCCGATGGACCATTTGGAACAATTGGGCTGTTGGCCCGATGTACCGCTCGGACCAACCGGCCTGTTGGCCCGATAGACCCGATGGACCAGCTGGGCTGTTGGTCCGATTGATCGGTTGGACCAACCAGGCTGTTGATCCGATCGACCGGTTGGACCAACCAGGCTGTGGGCCCGATGGACTGGTTGGAACAATTGAGCTGTTGGCTCGATGGACCGCTTGGACCAGCCGGCCTCTCAGCCCGATAGACCTGATGGACCAGCTGAGCTGTTGGTCCGATGGACCTGTTGGACCAACCGGGCTATTGGTCCGATGGACCGGTTGGACCAACCAGGCTAGTGGGCCCGATAGACCGGTTGGAACAATCGGGCTGTTGGCTGATCGGCCTGTCAGTTGAGCTGGCTTGTTGGCCCGATGGACCGGATGGACAAGCAGGGCTGTTGGTCCGATGGACCGGTTGGACCAACCGGCCTATTGGCCCGATGGGCCAGTTGGACCAACCAGCCTCCTGGCCCGATCGACCCGATGGACCAGCTGGGCTGTTGGTCAGATGGACCGGTTGGACCAACCGGGTTGTTGGTCCGATGGACTGGTTGGACCAACTGGCCTGTTGGCCTGATAGACCGGTTGGACCAGCTGGCCTGTTGGCCTCATGGGCCGGCTAGACCAGCTGGCCCGTTGGCCCCGTGGACCAGTTGGACCAGCTGGGCTGTTGGCCCGTTGGACCAGTTGGACCACCTACCCAGTTGGCCCAATTGACCTGTTGGACCGCCTGGCTTGTTGGCCCGATGTACCGGTTGGACCAGCTGGCGTGTTGGCCAGATGGAATGGTTGGACCAACATTTCTAGTTGGCCGATTGGACCGGTTGGACCAAATTGATTGTTGGCCCAATGGACCAGTTGGCCCAAGGCTGTTGGTCCAATAGACCGCTTGGACCAACTAGCCCGTTGGGCAGATGGACCGGTTGAACTAGTTGGCTTGTTGGTCTGATGGACTGGTTGGACCAGCTGGCCTGTTGGCCTGATGGACTGGTTGGACCAGCTGGCCTATTGGCCTGATGGACCGGTTGGACCAGCTGGCCTGTTGGCCTGATGGACCGGTTGGACCAGCTGGCCTGTTGGCCCGATGGGCTGGTTGGACCAGCTGGCCTATTGGCTTGATGGACCGGTTGGACCAGCTGGCCTGTTGGCCCGATGGGCTGGTTGGACCTGCTGGCCTGTTGGCCCGATGGACCGGTTGGACAAGCCGTTGGCCCAATGGATCGGTTGGACCAGCTGCCCTATTGGCCCGATGGACCAGTTGGACCAACACGCCTGTTGGCCCGATGGACTGGTTGGACCAAATGGCTTTTGGCTTAATGGACAGGTTGGAAAAACTTGCCAATTGGTCCGATGGACCGGTTGGACCAGCTGGCATGTTGGCCTGATGTAACGGTCGGACAAGCCGTTGGCCCAATGGACCGATTGGACCAACCGGCCTGTTGGCCTGACGGACCGCTTGGACCAAGTGGCCTGTTAGCCCGATAGACCCGATGGACCAGCTGGGCTGTTGGTCTAATGGACCAGTTGGACCAACTTGGCTGTTGGCCCGATGGAACGGTTGGACCAACCAACATGTTGGCCCGATGGACCGGTTGGACCAATCGTGCTGTTTGCCCAATGGACCAGTTGGACCAACCGGGCTGTTGGCCCGATGGACCGGTTGGACCAACCGGGCTGTTGGCCTGATGGACCGGTTGGACCAACCGGGCTGTTGGTCAGATGGACCGTTTGGACCAACTAGGCTATTGCTCCGATGGACCGTTTGGACCAACAGGGCTGTGGGCCCGATGGACCGGTTGGACCAACCGGGCTGTGGGCCTGATAGACCGGTTGGAACAATTGGGCTGTTGGCCTGAGGGAACGTTTGACCAACCGGCCTGTTGGCCCGATGGACCGCTTGGACCAACAGGCCTGTTGGCTCAATGGACCGGTTGGAATAACCAGCCCGTTGGCCCGATGGACCGGTGGGACCAACCGAGCTCTGGGCCCGATGGACCAGTTGGACCAATCGAGCTGTTGGCATGATGGACCGGTTGGACCAACCGGCCTATGTGCCTGATGGACTAGCTGGGTTGTTGATCCGATGGAATTGGAGCAACCAACCTGTTGGCCCGACGGACCGGTTGGACCAATCGGGCTGTTTGCCCGATGGACCGCTTAGACCAACCAGGCTTTTGGCCCGAAAGACCCGATGGACTAGCGGGGTTGTTGGTCTGATGGACCGTTTGGACCAACCGGGCTGTTGGTCTGATGGAAGGGTTTGACCAACCAGGCTGTTGGTCCGATGGTCCGCTTGGACCAACTGGGCTGTGGGCTCGATGGACCGGTTGGAACAATTAAGCTGTTGGCCCAATGGACCGGTTGGACCAACCGGCCTGTTGGCCCGATGGACCGCTTGGACCAACCGGCTTGTTGGCCAGATGGACCGGTTGGACCAACCAGCCCGTTGGCCCAATGGACCGGTGGGACCAACCGAGCTGTTGGCTTGATGGACCAGTTGGACCAACCGGGCTGTTGGCCCGATGGACTGGTTAGACCAACCGGCCTGTTGGCCCGGGCTGTTGGCCAGATGGACCCGATGGACCTGCCGGGCTGTTGGTCCGATAGACCTGTTG